AGCGGAATTGCCGCCGGCGCTGCCCGAGAAGGAGAGCACTGGGCAGGGGGAAGAAACCGGTCCCCGCAGATCGGCTCCGAAGGCCTCTCCCCGCCAGACTTAGAGCGGCTCTTGGGCAAATCCCAACTGAGCGATCTGTTGACCCAGAGAGACCCCCGCTCGAGATACGGATGAGAGGCGCCACCAAGGACGCGCAATTCTCCAGCAAAGGGCGAGAAAGCCGTGACCGGCACTCGGTTTCCAGTGATGGCAGGGGGTGGGGACCCAAGGCTGCCGAATCTCTCGGGTGGTCCTGCTGTGCTGGTTTGAAGGTGCACTTGGCACCGCTGGCCATATTTGGCCCCTTCAGACTTAGACCAACCAGCTGCCCTTACGGGTTCACACCAAACTCCACAGACCGCATACATCTCTTTCTCTCCGCCCCTCCCCCCACAGCTTTCCACCAGGGCTGGGACAGAGCGAAAGTCCAGGAAGATGCCAAGAGGCCCGTTCCCAATTGGGCGATTCCTCTTCAAGGTGCTGCTTTTTGAGTGGGACCTGCAGTCCATGCAGCCTCGTTCCTGAGGCTTTGGGCTCAGATGGGCCCTGCTGGGTTAAAAGAAGCACTTTTGGACAAAGCAGCATTTATCCCACAAAGCAGGAACAGTTAATTGCACACAAGGCTGTTTCTTAACTGGATCTTGTTCTTGCTTGCCTGTCACCTGCACGCACAAACACACACATCCCGTTCACACCCCTTGCCTTCAGATGTAGCAGAAATAACCGTGGAGATTAATTTCATATGATAAATTTAGCACAAAGGTCTACCAACTGCAGAAGTTTCCCAGGAAATCACAATGCCCGTAAAATTACCGTTGAAAGATCTGCATCAAGAATAGAGTTCAAAATCCAGTCGGGCAAATTTATTGTTATATTGTGTTTCCTTCTCCCTGTCTTCCTTTTGCTCTTTGCACAAAAATGAATTTAAGCCAATTCCTTGCTTTGATCTGCTCAAGGCAAAGAATTGGCCCAAAGACTCCTTGGCCGAGGTAGATAAGCTTCTCCTGAGAGGATTTACCAGATCCTCCAACCTGGGGCTCTTTTAGACATCCTTCTTTCTCCCCAAATGGTAAGCTTGCACACCTGGAAGGTAAGTGGTGGTGGGGGGAGGTCAAGTCCTGCTCACTTTATAATCAAGCCCTGGGTTCAAATTCCTCCTGTGTCCTAATCTCACACAAACCGTGCACAAATTGCTCCTCTTGCAGAATGAGATTCCTTGTAAGGAAGAGAACGGTTTGCCCAGATTCAGTTTGGCTGGTCCCCCTTGGCTTCCCTTGGGCCAGAGAGCATCTCTTGCCTGCACAGCAGAGCAGCCTTCCAATAAGGTGGCAGGGTCTCCTTCTGAGACCAAACAAACTGGAGAAACCCTGACACCCCTCAGCTGCAAGGCGCTGCTGCGTTTAATGAGGTGCCAGCAAAGAAGAGAAACAAGCAGATTGATGCCAGAGGAGGAAATGCAGAAAGTTTAACCCTGAAGGAAACAGTACAAGAATGCAGAGGAGGGGTTGGTTACTTGGTTTGGCACCAATAGCCGGAATTAGGTCTCACTAGGCGATGGCTGCTCCTTATTGGTTATAAGTCCCTTTTTAGATGCACGTTTATGGAGAGAAGAGGCACCGTCCAGCCTTGAGGGGCCTCAGACAACAGAATGTGAGATGAAGAACCCACAATGTTTCCCACAGAATCTGGAGATTTAATGCCCTTCCTTTCTTAAGCATAAGAACCCTGCAGATAATTACTGGAATTAAGTTGATGAGCTCAATGTTCTTCCCAACAGAGCCTCCAGTACTTCTGGGCCTTGCACAAGGTGTGTGTGTGTGTGTGTGCTGGAACTTCTCTCCCTTTCCTAACAATCACACCTCAGAAATTCGGAGCCTCCCCCTCTTGTTGCCAAAAGACTCTGAGGCCCGATTCACATTTCCTGGTATGGATGCAATTCCAATTCTTGGTTTGGAGTTTGTGTGTTGGGGAAACCTGCCTCGTATGGTTTGTTCCATAAACCACAGTTGAAGTAATTTAGGGTGAGCATAAATAAGATTCCAGCTCTGTTCTGCCAGACAAGCCCTGGACGGTGTTCAAAGCCAGGCCATGGGGCAGGGCTTCTTCTTCTCTCTCGCCCAGTCCCTGGTGGGGACAGGGCTCCAACCTGCTTCAAAAAAGGCCCTTCTGGATTCCCCATTGTCCCCACTGCTCAACGTCGCTTTCCTAAAAGAAGACTCTTTCCCCACCCTACAAATCACCAGAGTATACATTTTTTAATTCCATGAATTATCTGATTCAAGCCTGCTTCATCCCAAGTCTATTTTCGTTTTCTACAATGGCTCCAGAAAGTTAATGTTATCTTTTTACAATCCAAGTGTTTGAAATACATTCTCACACTCTGCTCCAGTTAAAGGCGCACAACCCACCCATCCTTCCCCCTCCCCCAACAGGCCACCTGCCACCTGCTGAGCCACCTTGGGGGGGGGGGGGGGGCGGGCCCCGCTGGCCCGGCACCCCACCCCCCCTCCGCTTGGGGGGGGAGGGGGCAGGAGTGGGCTGCAGACAGGTGAGATCAGGAAGTGAGGCTGCTCTACCTGGGCGATTGGACCTCCAGAGATTTTTCTTTAAAGCCTCTTCTCCATTCATGGAGGACCGTGGGGTCACTCCGATGCACGCAAGAGCTGCTGCTAGCGGAAAGATACCCGGGGCTCGAAACACGAGCGTGTCCTTCACGGTCTCACTTTCCGCCCTTCACCTCTGTGGACACAGGCCGCTTATGCCCCCCCTCCCCTCCCCCCCGAACTGAAGAGAAACGCGCATTAGTGGGCAAAATAGGAAGCCCGTGAAATCAAAGGCACAAGGCACGCAGACAGGAGTGACACGGGTGTCAACGGCACTATCTCCCGTGTCTCTGCTCCTCACCCCCCCCCCTTTCCGGGGCACTTTCTCAACTCCACCTGTTACTTTCCCAGTCTCCCCCTTCCATGCGACCAGCTCCCTCCTCCAGACCACGGTTTACCAATGACATCACTGGCTGGGCTCACAAATTCACGAAACCCTAAACCAGAGTTGCAACCCAACGGCCAAGTTCATCTCAGGCGCGAAGCCAAACTAAACCAGCCCGATTCACGCTTATTGGGGCGTTCCGGGGCGACTGCAGCTGCAGGGCGCCTTCCGCCTTCTCCTCCTGGAGCAGCCCAGCCTCACCTTTCTCCGCTCTCCCCCTCCCCAAACCCGGACTAATTCCAACCTCTGGAGTGCAACGAGCGCTCCGTGCAAGTCCGGGGCTTTCCTGGCGCGCGCTCTTCGGCTGCGAAGCCGCGCAGGACCCAGACATCTGCCCCCCCCCCCGCCCGCCGGGCTGCATGGAAAGAGCGCCTCCGCTTGGGCTTTGGCGGGCTGGGCGAGGGCAGCCGGCCGCGGTCTCGCCCAACCCGTCAAGGCCAGCGCCACTTTAGAGCTTCCCCCCTTCGCTCTGGAAGGCGGGCGGGAAGGGCGGCAGGTGCCGCTTCCCCCGCGGCTCCATTGTGCAGCCGGCGCGCCTTACCTTCCACACTCCAGAGGCTCCGCGCCCGGCCGGGAAAGGGGGACGCTCCCTCCGCAGAGGCCCGGCCGGAGCGGCTGCCCCCTCTCGAGCCCCGCCAGCGGGAAAGGAGGGAAGTGTCCGCTATGCCGCCAGCCCCGGCGGGGACCCTCCGCCGCGGGGCCAGGCACCGCCTCCTTTCCCGGGTGTGAGCGGACCGGCCGGCAGGCAGGCCGTCCCCAGCCACACAACGACAGCTCTCTGCCGGCAGCATCAGCTCCTGCGCCGCTCCCTCTGCCGTCCTGGTTTTTCGGGGGGGGGAGGGGCGGGGCTGCTAGGCCCCTCCAAGCATCCCGCAGGGATGCCCACTCCTTCCACCTGCCGGCCACTGCAAGGCAACCCCCGCCTCCCCCCCCCCCCCCCCGCTGCCATTGTTCCCAATTACAACCCTGCGAGGGAGGCTGGTTTGAAAGACAACGGGCGCAAAAGCTGCCAGGCTGGTGGTGGTGTCCCCAGAGCTCCCAGCTTCCACCCCCACCTCTTTGCTGCCCCCCTTCGAGGTTTCCCAAAGACGCAAGGCCGGTGGAGGGGTCTGCCTTATGGGGTGGGGGTGGGGGGCAGATCCTCCCGATGTTCTTGGGGGACGAGGTTTCCCCCCCCCCCCCCCCGCTCTTCCCACTGAGGGGCTGCGGCATCAGGCGGCACACACACACACACCTGCAAAGCCAAGGGGGGCGGAAGAGACCCAGCAGGGGAAACCGGGGTTCCTCCCTGGGACGGGGATTCTGGGGCCCCAACTCCCACTCTGGGCCACACCCCTCCCAGGGGGAACTCTGGCCTCGTTGGCCACGCAGCACCGGAAAAGCCACTGGGATGGGCTGAGCCAGGAGTGCTGGGGGCCACACAAGGCCCCTCAGAGCCACGGTGCCTCATCAACCCTCTTCCAATTTGACCCTGGCAGCGCCCCCCCCCCCCCCCCCCCCCCCCCCCCCCCCCCCCCCCCCCCCC